TAATCTAGGTACGAAAACTCTTGAGCTCTAAATAATAAGATGTGCTAAGACAAACCCCTTCAAAATGGATCTGACTCTGTGATCTATCCTCGACAGAACCTCTTTTCCTCTTTGTTTTATTCCCCCAAATAGCTTTATTCCCCGCACAGAGATAAATACCAGAACAGGCCCTCTTTGGCTTCCATGTTAAAATTAATTCAGCTTCTTTATACATGAACGGATCTCGAATAGTAAACGTCCGGTTTGATCTTAATTTATTAACATTCTACATATACATACGTAACGTATAGTTTCCGATGATTAACGAAAATGTTCGACAATTAACGAGAGCTTGATGAGAGTGACAGGGTAGCGTCTGCTATTTCTGAGCAAACCGTAAATCCAGTGGGGTAACGCGTCCACCAAATTGGTTTCCCAGCTGTCACTCACGCCAGGATGCACCTCATGGCGTGTTAGCCGCAAGGTGCGGAGGAAATATCGTTTCTAGGCCGAAGCGTCATAGAGGTGGAGACGCTATGCGGCACTCTGATCGGACGTCTGGCCGGAAGTGTGAGGGAAACTATACCGGGTGCTTCGTGATACCCCTCACCAGATCAGGATGCAATACGCAGGACGGCTTAGTCGTTCACTGCGTTCGACCTTCCGAGCATTTCAGAGCATCTCCAGAGGTTGAATGCGAATAGGGTTAGGCTAGGTCGCCCAGTTTTAAAAATCTTTTCTTCGCCTTTTTTGAACAACCAAAGAACGGCGAAGACTGCGCCATCGTAGACAAAACAATGAGATATATAAAAAGACGGAAGAGAAAAAGAAATTACCGTATTCAGTTAGGGATTGATTACCTGTGGAACGCGTGTAGGCACAGTATACAATAGTAACTAGCCTAATCAAGTGTAGATGAAAAATACATTGAAGCACTAAGAGTAAATACACTGGTAGTAGGAAAATATCATTGGGAAATGTAACACTGGAATACTTAATAAGTTGTCGAGATACTAAGTGAAGGAGCAATTCGTAAGATTGACTTGATTGCAATGATAAGTAAATAGTATCTAATGGAACTAGTCTGAAGCCTTGACTAATTGTAAGTAGTGCAATAACTTTTTTTTTAAATAAGAAGTAAAACTGCAATGGCAGTCTTAGAAAAGAAGTGCAATGGCGTGATAGCTGAAATGAGAAAGAATTGCTGATAAGTCACGGTTCTATGCTACTGAATCAATAAGTACCGGATATTAGATTATGTAATTTTGTAGTACCAATCTCCTGTGAATAAAATTGCCTTAGATAGATGGGTATAAGTCTTATCCATGATAATAAAAAAAAATTATAAGTCTTAGGGAGTACTCTATTCCGCTATCTTAAGTCACCTTAGACTTTTATGGTGAGAAGAAATATGTGCACTTTTTCTTGCTCACGTTCAAAACGAAGCATTTATAGAAATTACTAGCTATATCAATATTAATATTGACACTAGAACAACCGGCGTTGTTTATAGTGTATTTATATGTCCTGTATACAGAACTTCGAAATTAGATTTAATGATGGAAAATAAATTGACATATATTCCTTTTTTATCTCGATAAAAATCTACATAAATTCCGAAAAAAAGCACCTCAATAATTCTTGTAATTTAAAACAAGAAATTTGAAATCCGTCATTTTTACGGTTTTGGTGGTTTTAGTGTTAACCTCATATGTATAGGAGATTGCTATAATATCTACAACAATAGTCAGTTGACACACTTGCAAAAAATTAACCAACACTCAACAACCAATCTTGGCCCAATACTGAAATGATAATACAAGCAGATCCTCCACCAATTCGTTGGTCCGATTCTGATTAAAGCTAAGCCTATCTTGAGCGTGACAATAGCCCAAGCTTATGAAAGGTTAATCCGCTATCAGAAGCCAAACTTGGTTCAATACTAGAATGATAACATAAACGAATGTTTACCTATTTCACAGATATATTGACAAATGTTAAATCGATGTTAATTGCCTATATGGGAACAATAATTGGCAACATTGGCAAAAATACACAAAATTTCACTCAATTTGATTTTGTTTACATCAAAATGAAATCATCGTAACATTACTGTTTACAAGTAATTATCACTATTTCAAATGTTTCCTAATATCAATAGATATTAAAATAGTTGTAAAAATATTTATCCAACATATTAAAATGCTTTCTTTTGCTAAAACACTGAAATCCTTATTTATAAATCATTTAGGTAACACCTATCTTCTTTCTTCTATCAATATCTTTCTATTTTTAATTCTAAATTCAATTCTGTCTGAAATAACATATAGTCAAAATATCTTTCATTTAAAAAGGGCCACGAGACGAAATCGTCCCTTAAAATATTTAGATTGAGATTTTTTTTATTCCCGTTTGCAATTGTGACCAATTCGATTCCCACAACTCGGTAACCATTTATTTGCCATTGCATCAATCAACAGCGAGAAAACAGTAAAAATCCCACAAATTCGAGTTTCCACGAATATTATTTCATTCGATATCGACTGACCCGTCGTTTTACCACGCTTCATCATTCGCAAAATCTCTTCCCCAGATCCTAACCTCAAAACACATTGCACAGTCGAACCGTTGGCTGTAGTTAAACCATTGACAGCTCTTAAGCTGTTGGCTTTACTCGCTACTAAACTGCTGGAACTGTTAATCGTTACATCATTCGTAACACTGCCAAACTATTGGTATTTCTCGATGCTAAGCTCCGTTCTATAGCTTTTAACTTATCAGACACGAAACATACAACATTCGATTCCGCGTTGTCATATAAAATATGCGTCTATCAGATAATTGTTAGAACACCAGAATATGGATTATTGCAAAATTAAGAGTAAAATGGTAAAGATTACAGTGTAAAATATGGTAAAGAATAAAACTGGCAATGGCAAGTTTTCAACGTCTGAATTAAGCGGTACATAATTTGATTATGTTTGTAGAAACTATTTATGCTGTTAATTTAAATATCTGAGGTGACCGCTAAGGAATTTAATTCGCTTTGAATGGTTTCTTAGGGAATGGGTAATTACTCAAAAATATATAGAACAGCGTACTTAACGAGATGAAATGGTACTGTACTTTATGCAAGTAGTTACACCCTAGTAACGAGGTTGGTTAATTATATACAATATTTGTCATGGGCGTATTATGAAAAATTTGTTCGATTCTAGATAAAGGTATTAATGTTAAGTAGACTAATTAAAGTTGGCGATTCATAAGAAACTTTTTACTGTGACTTAAGGCCATTCTACAATGCAGCAGGACACGGAACACGGGATACGTAACACGGCGCGGTATTCAATTGTATTTTTACAAAATTCCATTGAATCCTCGAATTAGGCCTTTACCGTCTCTACGCTTCAAGATTACGTGATATTTTATGAGGAAAATTTTAATTGTTGAAAAGGGACAAAAAGCGCTTAAAAATTTTCATATGTACTAAAAAATCAAGAAGTAATAACCTCGACTTTTCTGTATGTCGTGCTTTATTCTTTTATTTAATTTCATAGTGAAGATGGAAAAGTTCTTGTCAGAATTTGATAGATGACGTCAAAGCATCACTGTAAAATGAAATTTGTGAAATTTAATTATCGAAAGGTTATCTATATCATTTATAGAAATATTATATCATATGTATAGATATACTTTCCAGTATATACTATGACAAAACCCAAGGTATTGCAATCGACTCTGCACTCATGGCAAAGTGCATCAATTAATTAGGTAAACTAAAAATCGAAAATGTCGTTTCTCGATGAATACGGAAAAAGTAAAAAGTTTCAAAAATTATTTTTTTTTAAATATTCACAAAATAAAGTGCGCTTGAAAGCTTGACAGCCTATTGGAAATATAACGATGCAATATAATTTCAAAAGATCAGTCCTTCTTTTTATTTCGAATCAGTAAAAAGCCAATCGAATTGCCCCAAAATAATAATTCGTAACATTAAAAAAATTAAAAATATCCAATTGATGCCCAACAAATCCTGAATGATAAATACAAGCTGGGAACAGAAAGATTTAAACCAATAATCAAACTATGTTTAATAAAAAAAAGGTTTTTTTTTTAATAGATATATCCTTATCATTTGTTACGTAGAAAAAAATAAATCTGATAAATGAAAGCGTCCCCTAGGTGACATTTAAATATAACTCTCCGTAGCATTGCTTTTGAATATTTCGATATCCCATGGGATATTATGTATATGAAGTAAAAACAGAAAACACGGAACATAAAACACAACCAATGCGTTTCGCGTAACTATGTTTTTGAAAAACGGATTATACAGTATATGCACTATAATAATAGAGCGCAGAAGGTTAAAACATGGATGAAAATATGACAGAATGAATCCAAGCTCCAGCTGATCTGATCGGTTCGTATGGGTTAGGATGGGAGCGTCATAGGGAATTCATAACACATGAAAACCATCCGCTGCGTTTACCCTGATCCTATCATAATAACGTGATTTATGGGATTCCCATGAAAGAGTTAATGCAAGCAAAATAGTCGATGCCATCGCCATCTACTTCGGTCCATTTCCCATTCGCATTTATGTACGTGGTTATACATGTCTATATATGCGTGTGGTGTGTGCCTGTACACGTGCAGGTACATAGAAACGGTTATTGATGGAGTTTCACACTAAACGTTATCTCACAGCACTCTCTCTTCATTTGTTATCTATAATATAAAGGAAGAAGAAAATAAATTGTCCAGCAACGCCAATTTGTCAGCACCACTTAACACTAGAACCTTAAATTCTTTTCTGTGCCAATATTCCGTCAGATCCCATTCACCCTAGTCTTCACGTGCAACACATGGAAATTTGTTACCGTGAACCTGAGTAGATCCCGACGTAAAGGATTCTATGTAAATCGATAAGAATAAATCCAGTAACGAACAAAGAAAAGATCCCACGGTGTGTGGGAAAGAGCGTTAATTAATATTTATTTTTATTTTTTATGTTACAGCTCTACAGGCACACCTACCTGGCACAATACAAGATAATCAATCTGCAGACCCTGTAAGTATATACAACCTCTCCTTATCTCTGCGAATTTCTATCCTAATGTATACGGACGTTAAGATTGTTAGTGGAGCAAGTGGTGGAAGCGGTGGTCGTCCGTCCGAAGGTTGAATATAATACCGAGGGTGCTGAGTCTCGTGATGAGAAAAAAAAACGCGCTTACGATAATCATATTTCAGACTTATTTCGGAGTAAGATTTAGATTTGCATTTTAATCTGAGAGCGGCCGTGGATATGAGGGTGTAAAAGTGCCGAGGGGTGAAGGCGGGGGGGGGGAAGGCGACTGAAAGGGGATGGTGAAAAGGAAAGGGGTTTGATGAAGGAAAGGGGAAATAGAAATAAACAGAATAAGCATGAATACTCGAATAGTACGAAGAAAAAGGAGCGAGTGACAAGGGGTGGGAGGTTGAAGGATAAGTGAGAAAAAAAGAATTTAAGGTGTGGGAGTGAAGTAGGGCGGTCGAAGAGGATAGCAGTTGAGGGTGGGGGG